AATCTCGGTGGGGAGGATGCCTCGCGCATATTTATGGTCATCGTATTTTGGTCTCGGGAGTGTCGTGAACCCTGAGTTCACGATGACTCATCAGCATCGACGCCCTCATCATATAAAAGAGGGCGGACGATGGCTCGAGGCCCGGTCTATCCGGCTAGTCTCGAAGCTACGCCTTCACCGCGAACCTCGGGCGGACGCTGGTTCTAAGGCCAGCTCTGCCTTCGAGCTCGTTCTACGACGTCGAATGGTCTTGGCCTCGATCGGTGAGATCAGTGAGTACGGGAAGACTCTCCTTCCCTCGGCGGACCCACAACTGACGGGAAAGATAGTTTGAAAGGAAATGGTCTGGGAAAGAGTTGGGAATGAGGTAAAACAATGTGGTCGGAAAGAGAGGTCACCCCTAGTTACTCCTAGCGTAGTGTCGCCCTTGTACATCAAATATATGCATGTCGTTCTAGTGTGATTTTTTCTCCCTTTTATACTTGTAAATTTGTATGAAATAAAAAGGTAATCCGGATCAAGTTATGATAGCGGTACGAACCACCAAACCTCATTGGGACAGTGATGCAGTCTCAAAAGGGATCCCGTAAACTGAAAAAATGCCGAAACCTTGACTACAGGAGCAAATTGAAGTTTTGGTCGCAGAAATAATGTTCATTTTTGGCGTCGGAGTATTTATCGTCTATTTGGTATTTATCCTCATAGTACCCTAAGGTGAGCCCCAGGCCAAAAGTGAGAGAGCACATTGGAGACATGCTTAAACAGCGCTGATGCTGAAAATGATTGTCATTTTCATTATGGGACCACTGAATAACCCCTAAGCGAGAATTTACAGTGAATTTGGGCAAGCAGTAGTGGGTCCAAGTGGGTGTAGTCAGCGCCAAAAATGAGTGTCACATTCGAAATCAGGGCACTAAGTAACCGCTACTCAAAGTCTCAGCTACAAAGAAAATTGGGAGATTTTTGAGTCTTCATAATAACGCCTGAGCGACTTAGTGATTAAAATAGTTCCATACATTCGCCTTATACACTTTTTTGTTCAAATGGTCTTTCACCAGTTCGTTTACAACGCATTCCCCGGAGATGGCAGAAATTTTTTTACCACATCAGCAGTTCTTGATTTTGTGAAAAACACGACGGCGTGGTTCCTACTGGCAGGCTTCTAAACAAGGGCAAAATTTTGGGCAAGTGCAAGCGGTAGCGCTCACAACTCCTTAGGCCATGGAACGAAAAAAGCCTACATTCAAAATGGGCTTCGACTTAGATCTTCTGGAAGCATTCATTTGTAACTGCACTAAAACGAAGGAATGATATAGAAGGAAAAGTTTAGCGAAGGTAGCCACGATTCACCAAAGTTTCACAAAATATGCAGATGAAAGTCGCTCACCTTCACAGTGAGATCCACTGGCCACGCGGTTTCGGATATTGTTGAGTAGGGATATTGATTATATCGATACTGTAGTTAACAGTGATACAATTAAGTGAATACAATGTAATACAATTTGTCGATATATTGCTACCCAAATTGAGCTGTTGGTGCACTCACTGGTATTATTGATCTTACGGCGGAGTAATCTAGATAGTGCAGAACTGTAGTGATGGTACTGATTGACTGCTCCCTGAAGAAGCTAGATATATCCTTCATTAGAGTGGGATCAAATAACTGTAGAACTAACTACAATAGCAGAATCGTCGATGACGCGATGGAAAGACTAGGCTATGGAAAGATAAACAAAGCTTATATCAAGGATGGGGTCCGACTTGGGCTTCTGGAAGCATTCATTTCGAACTGCACTAAAAGAAGGAATGATATAGGAAGAAAGCTTTAGCGGAGGTAGCCAGGTAGCTAGGTAGCTCGAACTCGCGGAGTGATTGAACATGCTAATCTTCAGAAAACGAGAAACGAGTCCATTTTACTTTTAGAGAAAGTTTTCAATGGACAATCAGTTGTGTCAAATTCTCTTCATTCGACAAATTCTTCAATTACTGCTTAAAGGCACGAGGGGTCGGGATTGAATTGATGCGTTATTTTGTTCAAACATTAGGCAAGGGGTGCAATGAGGAACATTAGTGAGGAGAAAAAGCAAAAAGCACCATAGAAAACACTAAATTTCCCAAGAATGCTGGGTTGTGAAACATTCGCAAGGCGAACTGCGGCCAAAAACAGCAGTTAACAAACGAAAACAAAACTAAATTTCCCTTAGGAGGCCGGCCGTAGTACGACGGAGAGACACAGCGCTGCGAGGAGAGGGAGAACGCGAGATAGTACGTCATACGCGAGAGGACGCAGAGACCACGTATGCCGTGGTGGATTACGCTGGCAGCGCGGGCAGCGCGGCGGGCAAGGCCTTAGCGCCATTGCCGCGCACTTTTGGGTCGCGATAGTGTCGCGCCCTCAGTGCTTGGGGAGCCCACTATCGCACCCTGGGAAGAACTTCTGCTGGTTGCCTAATCCTGACTCGTGGCTTTAAATGGAACGACAGAGATCGCCTTATCTAGCAAGTTCTTCATATTCGCTTCAATGGAATGTGAAAATCAAAACAACAAATTCAACATCTTCAAGAATGTCAACATGAAAAACTAAACAGTATTACAAATCTGAGAAATAATATTCATACACGTTTTCTTTGGAATCGTGGGCATTGGAAAGGTTTTCACTGGATTCGCTCGATGAATATTGAGTATTGTGTAGTAGTATTATTGTAGTATATTGAATTGAAACAACAAATTCAACATCTTCACGGATTTCAACATGAAAAACTGAACAAAAAAATTTGAGCTTACAACAACAAAATTTCGCCAAATCAATCATATCGACAGGGACTACCGATCATGGAGTTATCGTCCTTCATAAATGTTCTTGCCTTCCCTCTTGACCATGCGGTGAAGTTTTTTTCGTATCCTGATACAAATCCTGCACATTTCTGGAGTGAGTGTGCTCCAGAACTGAGCTGTTGCTTCGCGTAACTCTTCTATTGCGTGAGTTTTGCTTCATGAAAACTGAACTTTTCAATACAATGGTTTTGGTGGAACATCACTTTTTTCTGTCTGAAACCTGGAATTTCACCGAACTAATGGCACCTGACGAACGACTTTTCATGCTTTCCCAAACAAGCTCAATTGGGTTTATATCCGGAGATATCGGAGGCCACTCCATCAGCCTAATTTTCATTTCCTTCATTCGCGCAGTCGTATGCAGAAATTTGTGTGCGGGTGCGTTGTCTTGCACTGGTACTCCATAAACTCTAAAATTGTTGAGATAAAGAACTATTGGTAACCCCTTGTTGAATCTTTACCCTTCAAACCACTGAACCTTCATGAGGCGTTCACTCACCATTGAAAATATTGGTGCTAACGGCACATAGCTGCGTTTGAGAATTTCGCAAAATTTCTTGCTGTCCAGTCTGATAGAACCAGGGAAAATTGCTAGTCCAGTAGCTCCTCATTGATATGCGGCCCCACAAATGCAGTTTCTATCGGATGTTTGGTTCATGATCGCATTCGTGCAAAGTAATTATTGTTTCTTTACAAAGCAGTTAACTGCTCAACCAACTGAAAAGTGTCTGTTCAACACTATGGAACAATCAAATGAACGATGCGTTCGTATACGCACCCATAACTGTCGTTTCATCGTGAAAATGCCTGAAAATGACTGAAATCTTTCTCACTTTCAATCATCTTGATGCAGAAATCCAATCGCTTCAATTTATTAGGATCTTGGATCCGTGACAATCTTATTGTTGCTTTCCGAAATCCAGCTTATCTCTCAACCTGCGCACCTGCGAAGCACTAATTGAAATGTTGCGCTCTTTGAGGCGTTTCAAAATGTGTGACACTGTAACAGAGGAGTCAGTCGGATAGCTATCGTCGATGATGCACCTGATAGTAGGAAGTGCACGAAAACTTTCTTAATCGGTCACACGCCTTTTGGGCAGGAGCATGGACGAGTAATGTTCCTGCAGAAACCGTCGAGCACTGCGATAGCTGACAGACTGATCCAATGATTGTATTTCTTTGTGAATTTCCGAGACTGGCATTTCAGCACGATCTATGGGGTGAATTACATTACTGCATCGGACAAGCGACATCACGTCTGACTGGAGTTCCGAATGGGTGGCAAGCTGACGGTAGTCAAGGTGAGAAAGATCTATTAGAAAGCCGCTCCGCTCAACAACAGTATGGATTGGATTTTAGTATTAGCATGCTCAATGTTCATGCTGAACAAATCTGTCAGTAACGAACCGTCTACGCGGACAAAATCTCTGCGCAACACTACAACAGAATACTCCGACAGCTTGTTGACTCTTTTCTAGAATTTTGTTGTCCAGCAAGAACTCGATGACAGCGCCAAATTGAGACCAAACGTTTTCAGCTACAAGGCATTGCAAAACTGGAGAAGCGTTTCAAATCGGTGGTAACTGAGAACGAGACACATTAGTGGTTGAGTTTCCAGCATTTTTTGTGGAGATCTTTTTCGAAGCAATGTCATCATTCTCATCGATAAAGCACCTTATTATGTAAGTCTGAAATTCTACCATGAACATTGTGAAAGGAAAAGCGAAGCACGGGTTCGAAGAGAGAAGAAGAAGGGCTATCGGACAGAAAAGCCCTAACAACAATAAGAATGCGATTCCGTGAGCAACGAAACGGCAGAGCTCGAGGAGCTAGAGAAATATTGATTGAATGCCCGCGAAAGTGGTAACGATTAGGCAACAACCATGACGGAGGTTTCAAAACATGTCCCTGGCTCGGGCAGGTTTTGTTTATGAGGCAATCACTAATTCCAGGGGAGTATACGTAAGAACTATCCGTGGCGTGGTTCTCGGGAACATAACCGGCTCGGTTCACAGTTAGCGACTAGTGAGTTAAGGATAGTAGAGGAGAGGATATTAAAATAGTAGTAAAGCAGTGTATTCCGCTGGGATGATTAGATACATATTGACTGAAAAGGAGCGGAGCTTTAGGCAACTTCAGGCGAATGAACAATACGTATCTAATCACCCGCACTGTTCTAATCTCATACTACTGTGCTAGTCCCCCTGTCGAGGCTCCAT